TAATGTACAGTATGTGGAAAATAATGTTTTTTAACCTTAAACCACATAAACACATTTCATTACACCAAATACACAAAATAATGTTCTTTTTAGCATGTCATATGACCCCTTTAAAAGCTTGTGAGGTAATTTACCTCAGCATGTTTCCGCACAGGACACGGGTGACCCTTAACGCACTGCGAGTCAACCTGTTTGGAAGGAACATGAACTGAACCACCAAAAATAAAACACTCTGAAGTACATAACCAATAACCAAAATTAATTTTAAGTAACAATGAAGTGAAATATCCACTTTTTTTTTCTTTTTTTTTAAATGTGTTGCTTTGTGGCAGCAGAACATGCATGTGCAGACACATGCGAGATCCGCTACTCAGAAACCAAATACAGAGACAGAAGTGAATCATTAACGCAGATCCTCCTGAAGCTCCGCCTCTTTCCACACTCCGTTTAAAGCAGCACTATGTAACTTATTCTGTGTTCAAAATGAATTTATGAATTCATCTTCCAAACCGCGTTATTGTCTTATTCCGAGTCACTACGGTACACTTATAATAAGTACTTATATTTGGACTATTGTAGCCTGGTCGGGTCGCCACCGCTGCGGAGTAACACATACCTGCGTGAATCGCCATAGACATAAACTTAGAGAAGTAGCTCCGGTTGGAATGTTCTTCCGCGGGATGTGTGCAGCTCTGTTTATTAACCGCTAGAGCGCCAAAAGTTAAATAGTGCTGCTTTAACACTGTCAACACTCCATATGTGATTGACCTCACAAACAAAACAACTGTTGCGCTCTTTAAATAATCAGCTAAATAAAACAATGATTTATTGGAATTATGGACATTTCTGATTTACTTGTCTGAGTCAATGCAAATGAATATTCAAATATGGAAAAATTAAAATACAAGCCCGATTCCAAAAAAGTTGGGACACTGTACAAATTGTGAATAAAAACAGAATGCAATGATGTGGAAGTTTCAAATTTCAATATTTTATTCAGAATACAATAAAAAAGAGCAAATTTGCTGTGGTTTTTGGAATGCAATAAGTTTGTTTCATCATGCACTTGCATGCAGGGTTGATGTACTTGCTCTGAACTAAAAATAACTCTATAGCCTGTAATGCAAAAGAGGACACACTTAGAGGAACAGTTCACCCCAAAATGGAAATTTGCTGAAACTCACCTTCTGGTTATCCAAGATGTAGATGAGTTTGTTTCTTCATCATAACAGGTTGGAGAAAAATGTAGCATTATATCACTTGCTCACTATTGGATTTTCTACAGTGAATAATCCACAGCACTCCAGTCCATCGATTAACATCCTACGATTCAAAAAGCTGTGTGTTTTTAATAAACAAACAAATCTATTCTAGTCTAAATCAGTATAAATATACCTACTGTGTGTAATATGAACAAATGCAAAATAATGATATGTAAGTAAAATGTCAAAACTGCATTCTCATAGATGTTTCTCGATTTATAATTCTTGTCTGTGTGTTCCCAGCTTTATGTTTTTGACAGCCCTGTTGGTGGTCCTGTTTTACATGGATGGATGGTAGCAGGAGCTTGAGAGCGTTTGAGTCAGTGGTAATGAGTATGTTTTCATCACAGGCTGTGACTGGCTTCAAAACGCTCCTCGCAAGCCATCTGGACGTGTGCGGAGCGGCAGCGTGCTTGAGAGGAGGAGCTGGGAAATCATGTTCATCAAGTGTGTCCACAATCCATCTGGATGACATGAATGTGAGAGCATTGATAAAGCACGCTAAAGTTCAAAAATTAGGGATTATTTAATGTTTTAAAATCTTATCCTCATCAAGGGAGAATTTATTTGATCCAAAATCTGATTAAAAACCGTAATATTGTGAAATATTACAATTTAAAATAAGAGTTTTCTGCTTTCATATATTTTTAAATGTAATTTATTCCTGTGATGCAAAGCTGAATTTTCAGCATCATTGCTCCAGTCTTCAGTGTCACATGATCCTTCAGAAATCATTCTAATATGCTGATTTACTGCTTAAGAAACATTTCTTATGTTGAAAAAAAAATTGTGCTGCTTAATATTTTTGTAGAAAATGTGGTACAAGGTTTCTTTGATTAATAGAAAGTTCAGCATTTATTAGAATATCATTATTGACTTACTGTCACTTTTGATTAATCATTTTCAATTGAATGTTTATTAAGTATTTCTTTCCCCAAAAAAATATGACCAATCCCAGACAGTTGAATAGTATAGTATATATTGTGACCAGTATAGGATAAAACATAATCAACAACTCAACTGTGATTAAGACACAAGGGGCCTTCACTTTTCAAAACTTAAAATGATTAGCAAAACTTTTTAAAGGGTATTTGAATTAATAACTTTCTTACTACCTGCAAAAAGAATTCTGTGAATATATGTCTTAATGGTAAACTATTGAGATTTCATGGCAAAATAATGTTTTTTTTCCCCTATTTAATTCTTATTTATTTTTTGCATTTTTTAGGAAGAAGTGTGTATCTTTCTGGTGTGGTGTTCTTGTGCATGTATTCTTCAAGATCAGTGTAAGTGTGTACGTAATATTTCTCTTGAATATTTTTTGCATATGAAGCATATCCTAATTTGTGCATTGTCCCTCCAATGTGTCTAACTGGAAAGGTGATGAAAGAGAATTTCTCTAAGGTGCCAGATGGTGAACTGCGTTGAACATGCCGTCTCAGATGTGCAGCTCAGGTACTGTTATTCCTCAGGGTGAGATGCACAATTCCTGTTGCTGTCTTATTTTCCCACCTGCATCTCTGACTGTTGGCTGCTCAAAGGTGCCGTTTTTGCAATATATTTGCTATTGTGACCATCAAAACCACTTACTGTACAGTATTAAAAGTAAAAAAATAAAATAAAATTAGGATTTTCCAGATTATAGTCAACTTCAGAGGCCAAAGATAGGCACTGATGAATTTGTATTGTTTTAACCTACTGATCGGAGGACTTGTTTTGATTGACGTTGAAGGTTGAAATGTTTAGTTGCACTACAAAGTCTTGTTCCAGCTTCCAGTGAGTGTTTATGCAAAGGTGAGTGAGCTGATATCCAACAATATGGCATACTGCAGATTTGGATTTGTTATGGGCAGCTTGACAGCAGCTACTGCCACATTTCGGTGTGTTGCGCAATAGCGCCACCACGTGGCCAGTTGTTAATAAGGCTCATAGTGCAGTAGTCACGTTTCTACCGATTTGAGCTCTGCTGGGACACACTGCAGATCCAAATTTAGACAACCGCACCAAAACATTTGCATTTGACTTTAGCAGAAGATCTGCAGACTATTGCAAAGGCCTTGCTATTTAAATGTACACACATGAAGAGGTTGCTGTAGCTATATGTGACTTGCTGAAATGCTGGTAGTTGGTTTACCAAACATATTCACTCTGAATAGAGATTTCATGCAAGAGGAGGCTTGTTTAACATGAATCCAAATGGGGCTTTCAGTTAGCCGTTTTTATATATCTGGTTTGTCAAAGTCAAATATATATAGTTGTTGTGCAAAAAGATGTGGTGAGGGGGAGGGATTCATCCAAATTTTCTTATGTTAGAAAGAAAAATTCTGTTTCATGCGGATTATCCCAGCATGCAATAGAGATCGATTTTGTCCCACCTTTATTAGAATGGTGTCTTGCACGTATAAAAATGACTTCACAATGCAAAACACAGTAGCAGGTTTCCTATTAGACATGTAAATCAGTACTTCTACCTTTTTTAAATTGTGAACGGTATGCGTTTTACTCGCGTATTACATAAAAATGTAATTTTAATATTAGTGTAATTATTTTAACATGAGTTTAGGAACTGAATAATAAAAAGGAAAAATAAAACACTGCTTAGTATTGTGCCTTTAGTTAGCTAAAGCATAGCGGGATTCAAAACAAGCACAAGCAAATTATAAGAGTCCTTACGCCAGCATTTCATTTGAAGGAATAGTTTAAATCATCATTTACTCACACTCACGTTTTTACAAGCCTGTACGAATTTATTTTGTCTGCTGAAGACAAATGATGATATTTTGAAAAACACTGGTAACCAAACAGTTTCTTATCCCCACTGACTTTCCACCAATACTACAGAAGTCAATGGGAACCGGCAACCGTTTGGTTAGACACTCTTCAAATATCTTTATGTACAACAGAAGATAGAAACTCATACAGGTTTAGAGCAACTTGAGGGCGAGTAAATTATAGTTTCATTTTTGGGTGAAATGTCCCTTTAAGGCTCAGAAGTTTCAAATGTTTTTGAAAAACTCATTTATTAGAACAAATACAATAGAAACCTTAATACCGTGGAATCACTATAATTTAAGAACTTCATATTTAAAAGGTTTTAAAACAATTTATGTCTGTGATGGCAAAGCTGAAGTTTACTCCAGTCTTGTCTCACATGATCCTACAGAAATCAATCTAATATGCTGATTCAGTGCTAAAACATTTATCAAATGAAGAAAAGAACTAGATGCATTTTCTCAGAATTCTATGATGAATAGAAATTGAATTAAAAACTATTTTAACACTATGAATGTCTTTACAGTCACTTTTGATCAAGGTAATGTACCCTTTCTGGATTAAAGAACTACTTTTCAAATTAAGCTTAATCTTTTTAACAGTAGCATATACACACACACCGATCTTGCCACCCTTGGCATAAGGTGCCAGCAGGTCTACGACCTTGATTCCAGTGACCAGAATCTCCTGCTCGACACTCATGTCTGTGAATTCTGGGGCCTCCGCATGGATGGGGGCAGTCCTGGATAACAGATCACACACAACATTCAATTATGTACTTTACAAGAGGATTAACGCTTCTTAAATGAGCTTGCAAACACATATTTTAGCCTTCATAATACCAAAGACTATAGAATACCCAAGACGTGTCACTCGTGTATAGTTTTGAATGGAGAAAAATGCAACCTGAGAAATAAGGTTTGTTTTTTTTAAACGCTATTTGAGCAAAAATATTTATGATACAGTTGTCAGATTTCACTGGTGATTTCAAATATGAATTTATCATAAGCTTGGCGACCAGTTTTAGAGAATTTGAGGTTTCCGTTCAAAGAGATAGAAGCTGCATTTGCTTGCATGAGAGGCGTTTCAAAGATGGCCGCCAAGTGACATGAATTGCCTTAAACCAGGGGTGCCCAAACTCGGTCCTGGAGGGCCGGTGTCCTGCAGAGTTCAGCTCCAACTTGCCTCAACACACCTGACTGGAAGTTTCTATGTCTAGTACAGTGGTTCCCAAACCTGTTCTGGAGGCCCCCCTGCCCTGCACATTTTGTATAGGCCCTTTCGCACCGCTTTAGTTCCAGAACTAAAATGGACAGTACTAAAGTACGGAGACGATTTTGCGCGAACTATTTCCCAGTACTATTTAAAGGGTTGCATTCGCACCGACAGCATGTACTAGGAAGTGACGTAAGCCGGTCGACAGCGACGTCATTTGTGCGCGGCATTCAACAACAGAAACAAAGAAGAACAACATTAACAACAGGAGGATGGAGGACATTGTGATCGGAGCTGTGTTTTTGTTGTCTCGCGGGTTTCACAATAACGGACATGGAATGTCGACGTATATGTAAAGCGATTGAAAGAACGGAAAGGAGGACTAAGAATCTCCAATGACAACTGGCAGTGCTACATGTGCCTGCACTTCAGCGTCCGTCCATCCATCGCTGTTCTCCATACTTGCGAAATAAGTTGACATGCTTACAGTACGTCTACACAGAGTTTTAAATCATGGCGGGTGAGGGTGTTTTCGTACGCGTTTGGCCAATCAATGTCTACTTGCGTCACGGGTAGTACCAGTTGTGCTGGTTAGACCCTGCTCCGGAGTAGGAGCTAATTTGGTTCTCGAAAAAGGCAGTCCGGTACTAAAATCGCTCCCGGTTCCGGTGGTGCGAACACGCCGAAAAGTGGGTAGTTCCACAATTAGTTCTGGTACTATGAAAAGGTTCCTGCGGTGCGAAAGGCCCTTATGTCTCCCTAATCAGACATACCCAATTTAGTTCCTGCAGTCTCTACTAACGAGCTGATGAGTGGAATCAGGTGTGTTAGATAAGGGAGACATACAAAAGATGCAGGGCAGGGGGGCCTCTAGGACAGGTTTGGGAAGCACTGGTCTAGTAAGAGCTTGATTAGCTGGTTCAGGTGTGTTTAATTAGGGTTGGAGCTAAACTCTGCAGGACACCGGCTCTCCAGGACCAAGTTTGGACAGCCCTGCTTTAAAGGGACATTGATAATACTCACTGTTTTGTGGTAATTAGTCCTCTCTCGTCAATGGGCTCACCGATGACATTCATGATCCTGCCAAGCGTCTCAGGTCCCACAGGGATTCTGATGGGGGCACCGGTGTCAAGAACCTTCTGACCGCGCACCAGTCCCTCAGTACCGTCCATAGCGATGGTGCGGACAGTGTTCTCACCTAAAGAGCAAAAAGAGTTACTTCGCAAACCGGTCATGACTTTACCATTCAGATGTACTTGATTGGGTAAAGCTTCAGTCTCGTTACCCAGATGCTGAGCCACCTCGAGGACTAGCCTAGTGTCACGGCCGGCCACTTCCAGGGCATTGAGAATAGGGGGCAGATCCTCGTCGAACTGGACGTCCACAACGGCGCCGATGACCGCGACGATTCGCCCGCTGGCGACGGCAGCAGCTGCGGCAGGAGCGGCATAATCCCTGCCTGAGAGAGAGAGAGGAGGAGAAACAGCGGAATATCGCATGAAACTGAGCATCTGTAATAGAAACATTGAAAAACATGCATATGCACGCTCGAAAGCTTATATTTTGATTAGTCACTAATATAGTTTATATTTGCTCGGTGTCCTGAGAAATCAAAACAGGCTAGTGAATGAACGCACGCAAGCCGATGTTCTAGATTTTAAAAGGGATTTGCCTGCAATCTGCATTTATAGCTTGTAACTAAATGTCTAGAAATGTGTTTGCATTAACTCGTGATCTTATTCCACAAGGTTTATTCTGTACCATGACCTCGCGAGCTGCGAACAAGCTAGCATGATAAAGGTCATTCCGGTTTTCACACCAAACAGACTTAGCTGTTGTCATCAAATGAAGTACTCCGCTATGTCAGTTTATTTGCAGCAGATGTAGCACATCTGGCGAAGGCAATCATTGGAAACGTTGACGGTGAAACTTTGCGGCCTGCGCTTGCTGTCCGCATGCTGCCATTTAGCAGTCTAGCACTGACGCTGCTGTCAGAAGAGCTGCTTTAAAACCAAGCGTTTCGAAAACCAACGAATTCTACTTACGAGAAACCAGTGCCGCTGGAGCTCCGTTGAGAGCCTTCAGGGAGGTCACCCCGGGCTTGAGAGCTTGCAAAGCCCCGGTGCAGCAGCGTCCCACAGCCCCCAACATGGTTATAATGGCTGAAGATGGAATGAGGCAGAGGCTCGGCAGCTTATATACAGTGCCGCTAGAGTCCGACAATGCGCATGCGCAGCAGACATGGCGCCACACTGAGCGTCTGCGCATGCGTCAGTGTTGTTGAAGGACAGACTGGGCATCGTTACCATAGACCTAATAAATACTATTATTTATTATACATTTATTTATTATGTCTATGATCGTTACAATGAACTGAAATAGCTTTATACTGCATCTGCAGGAACAATGATGTCGACGATTTTGGTCAAATGTAATACACTAGTATACATGTATAAGTTTGCATTTACGTAAACATAATGGATCAATACCAGAACGCTTTATTATTATTATTATACAGAATGTGTAGTAGATGCAGTATTCGCAGGTGGCAAGTATTTACGCGTGGTCCTCATCTGTTTTAGAGAATAACAAATATGAAATGCTTTTTAGCAGATGAAACATTAAGTCGAATCTCACACTTTCTTGCATGCATAGTTTTGCCAGTGTCTACAAGTACTAGTGTATGTTTACCAGTCTGTGACCTGTAGGTGTCGGTGTTGTGTAAACGTTCTTCAGTCATCAAGACTGGACCTTTATTGGTCAAAAGACAGTTGCTGTCTCTGTACTGTCTTATATGTAGGTCTTATAGTATGCATACTAGCAGTAAAATGTTGTGGTTAAAGGCCAATAGGCCCATTATGACTTGATAAAGAATTTCTTTCTTTAAAAGAAATTAAAACACAGTCCTGTGATTCTAATGTTTTGTTCGATGTAATGGATACAAGTGATTCTAAACTCAGTGTAGTTATCTTTTATTCTTATTTAGGGTAAAACAGGGTTACAGAAAAGTCATACAAAAATGTCAACAAAAAACTTCATATCAGAGCAAATACTTCAAATTTCAACATATTCTGTTACACCAAATACACAAATTAATGATCTTTAAAAAAGCATCAAAGGTCCCCTTTAAAGGGGTCCTATGATGCTTTTTCACTTTTTTAATTTTAGTCAGTGTGTAGTGTGTATGTTTGGGCATAAAAAATATCTAGAAAGTTACAAATCTCAAAGTCCACTCCAAAGGGAGATATTTCGTTTAAAAAAAAATCCTTTTTCAAGAACTACAATGAACGGCTCGTTTGGACTACAGCGTTTGTTTTCCGGGCTTTGTGATATCACAAAGCGGCTCATTGGAATAAACCAAGAAGAGCTGCTGTGCTGTAGCCTCAAATTTTAGGCATGTCTAGAACAATTCTTACATGTAGCTGGGCGCCGCGGACAGACGCTGAACGGCGCCACCGGTGTGCCTACACTCATAGAAAATAATGTATTTGAATTTTAAAGACGTGGCGCGACGCGACGCTGCACTTCTCGTCCGGTGTGTGACCGCCTGAACGCTTTTTTTTTTTCACCTCCGTGCCCAAACATCTTTGTTTGGGCTTCCAAAAGCAGACCAATGTCACAGACCAATGTCTAAAGGTGACAACAAAACACACCTCCAGCTTCACCATCATCACTAACATCAATGTAATTACTAATTGAATTGTGTACATTGGTAGGCTATAGATAGGTATGGATACAAAACCACTACTGATATACATTTAACAGACAATCACTGCAAATTATTAATTTATTTTATAAAAGATAAAGTCAAGCAAGTCATGCAAGATTTGAACTCAATGTTAACCTGGGATGTTCATATCTAAGTTATGACAAACTTTTGCAAACAACCTAAAACTGGTGATGGAAATAATATCAAGTGGAAGGGAAACTATATTTCAGTGCTTTTGAGAGCAAACACAAAAAAACGAAACACTGAAAATGTCTGTGCAGTTAATATGAAAACGTTTAAATAATACATAAATAGTTAATTGGTCAAAAGGTGTGTATATGGAAAGCCATCAACCCATTTATTTCTGACAAAGAAATAAAAACACAGTATCTATAGCATGAATAGAATATGGGAATATTAATATTAAAAATATTTTAGTATATTAAAATTGTATGTTTACTGAAAATATCATACCACACTCTTCTTGAATGCATAACCTATAATGCTTCAAAGTGCTGATCTCATTAAGACTGTTTAATGATGCAGAACAAGCAATTATTGGCCAGTGAGCTATACTGCCATTTTGTAATGTCATCCAGCCATTGATTGTGCGCACAAATAGTCCACACACATCCGAAAGATCCTCATGGTTATATGCATGGGTGAAAATCTCTGCTAAGTAGGTCAACAAACGTTTCAGTAAGCCACATGATGAAGCGATCAAAGGCACATAGAAGTCTGTTACATTGGTTGTACCCTGATGTGCATGTGTAACAAATATTGATGCGTCTCAGAAGCAGCAGTAATTGTGTTGTGTGCACAGATGGTGCAGCAGCACAACTGAACAAACAGGCCTGAGCTGTTATTGCACTGCCTGTACATATTTGTGCAGTACGATAAGAGATTTCTGTGTTCGGTGTGATATAAATCCATTATGGACTTGCATGGGTAGAGTTTGATTAATGCCTCACATATCAGAGGCTGATTTTACAGTAGTCTTGTTATTTGTGTAGATCTTTGACTGGTGTGAGGTTTTTGTCTGTCAGGGTTATCAGGAGGAACAGCTGTCTTAGTCCTTCCTCACTTAACTCATCACAGTTTATTCAATCAGATAGTCAAATCAAATTTAGCTATTGTACCAGAATGAGACTCATTAACAGTAATTACTAAGTAAACAAACAGACAGGAAGAACAGCAGATATAGTGTTGAACGTGCCACTGAAAGACACAATAAAACAATAAGACAAACTCACTGAGATGACTTGAAATGGGTTACAAATCATTAACAATTTGGAAAGACTAGTCTAAGTCAGTTTTAAATGCCCATTATATTTATTAATTACAATATACAAAATGAAACAACAGAAGGCCATATATATTCTTGTTTTACACTTGTTATATTTGTAGATTTAAGTAAGGACACATGATATATTTGCACCATAGCTGTTATCAGTTGACAGAATTTTTTTCTACATCAGTCAATAATGAATTTTTAATTGTTGATGTTTATTTTCTCCATTTGTACAGTTATATTACATTTACCATGAGTTAATGCTTGCTTAATCTTTAATAACACCATGAAATGTAATGTTTACAGAATCTCAAAATGAATATCCATTTTTCAAACTGTACATTACAGTTTTGTGATGCTTGAATTCACTTGTAGCATTTGATATTAGCGTGTTTCATTTTTTATTTATTTAGACTAAATAATATAGAATTTTAATAATAACACGGCCACAGCATGAAAATAATTAGCAGCTTATTAGTATTGTTAAGAAATGTAAAATCTGTGCATCCCTAGCTTCAAGTGTTTACATTATTGCATATTTCATAAAATAATAATGTGAAAGGTACAACTAAATGTTATCTTCAAACACAATACAATCAGACACATTCCACAATCACACAGATAACAATGTTCCCTTTCGAACGGTCTCTCTCGTTGCGTGAAGATGCATTTTGGGGAAAACTCCTGTTGTGCTCTACTGAAGCCTGATTTGTTCATGTTTGTGTAGCTGCACAAACCAATGGCGCTTTAGCCCGCCAGAAAGGGTGGAGCCGACCCCTATATAAGTCGGCTCAGAGCGCCATTCATCAAATCATTCTCCTTCAGCGACGAGGATCATCTCTTCGCTGACTCTGGAAGAAGCCAAGAAGAAGAAGAAGCCGAGGAAAGAAGCCCCTGCTCTGCTCACCGCTGCCGTCGAAGAAGCCCAGCAGTGAAAATATCCCTGCAGCCATCCGGCGTGTGAAGAGCAAATTTCCTAGAGAGCAAATATCAGCGTGCGTTGTTCCAAATGTCGAGCCACGATAGTTTTTCCCATCTCCGCTCGCCTTTTTTCATTAATGCGCCTTAAACCTCACTGAGATGAGGGACGCGGAAAAGATGGCTTTCCTTGACTCACCGGTCTCGCCGAAGGGCCTGTTCAGCCCCACTGTGGACAGGTTTGCTGAACGATTTTTGGAGGCTCAAAAGACATTGCAGGCGCTGCGTCACTTCCTCCCCAAGCGCTCTGGCCCCACGGCTGTGGGCCACCAGAAGAACCCCACCACTCAGCCTGCAAAGCCGGCGCAGCCTCAGCCTCAACGAAAATCCAAGCCTGGGCTGTAACAGTGCCCCCGGACGGTGAAACGCTTCCCCTTCCCTTACCTGCAGGTGCAGCGCGTACCCAAATGTTTTACCGTTGTGATAGCAGACCCACATTTAAAAAAAAAAAATTTTATATATATATTTTTTGTTTGTTTATTGTATTCTGGTTTTTGCAATATGTTTGTTTCTGCTTTGTGTATTTGTGGATTATGGTTCTTACCATCAACCTGCCAGGGACTGCAGATGAAAATTAGCCTGAATGACTAAATCTGGCACATTTACATAGTAGACTTGTTTACTCATCTTAATTAATGTGTAGTGTCCCTTTTAAATAAAATAAAAACAAACAAAAACATACAATAAAGAGCAAGTTTCCTCTTCACACTCTCTCACACACTCATGTGAATGTTAGTTCCCCGCCTTCTCTCGTCGAGCTCTGGCCCCACACACTCTTACGAAGTGCATAGACGTGGCTTTTCCCCCTCTGAGGCAGATGGGAATCTGCATATTGAACCTTGATTCTCGACAATTGGCTGGTTCTAGCCAGATCAGAATGGGAGTTGGCCACTCACAGAGAGTTGTTACTCAGCCACTTAGAGCACCTCGGGTTGGTCATCAGCCCACACAAGAGTCACCTGTTGCCCAAACAGTGAGGGGTCTTTCTGGGAACAATTTTAGACTTCCAAATGCAGGCATGGATTCACCTGTTTCAAACAGAAATTAGGTTAGGGCTGACTTCCAGAAGGAAGGTAGTCACAACGGACGCTTCCAACTCGGGTTAGGGCGCCCTGTTGAAGGGCAATCCGGCGTTCGGATTCTGGTCAGTCCCGGAACAGCGCCAGCATATCAACTGCCTAGAGATGTTGGCGGTTTTCTTAGCTCTGAAAACCTTCCT